TTTAATAGAGTTTCCTTTTTGGGAAGGTTTTTTAGCAACAAATTCAACTTATTCAATTGATACAGGGCTATTCAGTTATCTATTCGTAAGTGAACTTTGATGGTCTGTATCTTTCAAGGTATTTGTCCATTTATTCTAAGTGTCAAATTTACTAGCATGAAGTTGTTCATAATATAAGCATACCTCAGAGATATTGTGGGTTCAGTTCAGACTACTGCAATAAAGCAAATATCAAAATAAAGCATGTCAAATGATTTTTTTTTTTTTTGGTTTCTGAGTGCATGTAAAAGTTAGGTTTACACTACAGTGTTGTCTATTAAGTGTGCAATAGAATTATGTCTAAAAAAGTGTATATACCTTAGCTTCAAATTTTATTGTGAAAGAAATGCTAACCATCATCTGGGCTTTTAGGCAGTCATAATCTTTTTTGCTGGTGGAGGTTGCCTCAATGTTGATGGCTGCGGGCTGATCAGGGAGGTAGCTACTGAAAGACTGGGGTGGTTGTGGCAATTTTTAAAAATAAGACAATGAAGTATCCTGCATCAATTGCTCCTTCCTTTCATGAACAATTTCTTTGTAGCTGCTTGATAGCATTTTACCCCCGACAGAACTTCTGTCAGAACTGGAGTCAATCCTTTCAAACTAAGTCCATGTAATAATTCAAAATTCTCTGTTGTCATTTCAACAATCTTCACAACATCTTAACCAGGAGAAGATTCCATCTCAAGAAACCCCTTCCTTTATGGATCCATAAGAAGCAAATCCTCATCTATTAAAGTATTACCATGAGATTGCAGCAATTCATTCATACTGTTAGGTTTCACTTCTAATACTATTTATCTTACTTCCAACACATCTACAATTACTTCTTCTACTGAAGTCTTAAGCCCCTCAAAGTCATCCATGAGAGTTGGAATCAACTTCTTCCAAACTCCTGCTAATGTCAATATTCTGACTTCTTCCCATGAGTCATGAATATGCTTAATGGCATCTAGAATGGAATCCTTTCCAGAAGATTTTCAATTTGCTTTGTTCAGATCCATCAAAAGAATCATTATCTATGGCAGCTATAGCATTACAAAAATGTATTGCTTAAACAAGAAGATTTGAAAGTCAAAATGGGCTGCAGAATGGACATTATGTTAGCAGGCATGAAAGTATTAATCTTGTTGTAATCTCCATCAGAGTTCTTGGGTGACCAGGTGCATTGTCAAAGAGCAGTAATATTTTGAGTTATCTTTTCTCCTGAGCAAGTCTCAACAGTGGGCTTAAAATATTCAGGAAACCATGTTGTAAACAGATGTGCTACCATCCAGGCTTCGTTCTTCCATTTGTAGAGCACAGGCAGAGCAGATTCAGCATAACTCTTAAGGGCCCTAGGATTTTTAAGAATGGTTAATGAACAATGACTTCAACATAAAGTCCCTAACAAGAGAGTCAGCCTGTCCTTTGAAGCCAATCGTTGACTTCTCCTCTAAATGGCATCTTCTTCCAATATAACACTGTTTTGTGTACACTGAAAATATGTCATTTAGTCTAGCACCTTCATTAATTCAGCTTAACTAGATCTTCTGGATAACTTGTTGCAGCTTCTGTGTCAGCACTTGCTGCTTCATCTTGCATTTTTAAGTCATGGAGATGGTTTCTTTGCTTAAAACACATGAACTAACTTCTGCTAGCTTCAAACTTTTCTCTTGCAGCTTCCTCACCTCTTTGCTTTCTCAGCCCTCATAGAATTGAAGTTAGGGCCTTGCTCTGGAATGGGCTTTTACTTAAAAGAATGTTGTGGCTGGTTTGATCATCTATCCAGACCACTCAAACTTTCTCCATATCAAAGTAAGGCTGTTTCACTTTCTCATCATGCATTTATTCACTGGAGTAGCACTTTTAATTTCCTTTAAGAACTTTTCCTTTGCATTCACAACTTGGCTAACTGATGCACAGGGTCTCGCTTTTGGCCCATCTCAATTTTCAACATGCTTTCCCCACTAAATTTAATCTTTTCTAGCTTCTGATTTAAAGCGTGACTCTTCCTTTCACTTGAGCACTCAGAGGCCACCATAAGGTTAACTGGTCCAATTCAGTATGGTTGTTTCTCAGGGAACAGCGAGGCCCAAGGAGAGAGGGAGAGAGATGGGGGTAGCTGGTTGGTGGTTTAATCAAGAACAGAACACATTTATCAATTAAGTTGTATATCTTACATGGGCATAGTTCATGGCACCCCAAAACAATCACCATAGCAAATATAATAATGAAAAAGCTTGAAATATTGTGAGAATTACCAAAATGTGACAGACATGAAGTGAGCAAATGCTGTTGAAAAAATGGTACCTACAGACTTGCTCAACACAGGGTTGTCCCAAACCTTTAACTTGTAAAAAACACAGTATCTGCAAAGCACAATAAAGCAAGGTGCAATAAAATGAGGTATGCCTATCTTCCCTTAATATTTATAAATCTATAGTGATGTTACCTCTCTCATTCCTTTCAGGAATTGCTAATTCCTGAAGATTTGTATCTTCTCTTTTTTTCCCTAATTTCATCAATCATACTGATCTCAAAGAACCAAGTTTCACTGATGCTCTCAACTGTTTTTCTATTTTCTATCTCATTGATTTCCACTTTGATCTTTATCATCTCCTTTCTTGGCTCTTTTGGATTTCATTTGCTCTTCTTTTTCTCGTTTCCTAAATTAGAACCTGAGGCCACTGATCTGAAACCACTCTTTTCCAGTAGACGTGTTTAATGATACAAAACTCTAAGTACTGCTTTTTAGCTGTCACCCACAAATTCTGATTTGTTGTGTTTTCATTTTATTCAGTTCAAAATATTTTCTAGTTTCTCTTTTGTCTTCTTCCTCCACCCATGAGTTATTTCGATGTGTGTTATTTGGTGCCCAAATATTTGGGAATTTTTTGAGTTTTCTATTATTGATTTCTTAATTAATTCCCTTGTGGCCAAAGAACCATATTATATGCCAAGCCCTGTAAAAGTGTATAATATACTTTTCATTTCATCATATGGTTTCCCCCAGGAAGCCACATCTGATAAAAAGTGAATCAGGGAAAGGTCATGTTGAAAAAGTCTGACACTGAAAATAAGAATAATAACAAACAACTACAACAATATGCCTATGGGCTAGCTAAACAATAATTAGGAAATAACAACAAAAAATTAATACTGAAATATTTATGGATGAATTATGTCTGAAACTTACTTCAAAATAATCCAGGATGAGGGAGAGTGGATAGGGGAAAAGATCAAATGAGATTGGCTAGTGATCAAATTGAAGCTGAATGATGGTTTTATGGTGGTTAATTACAGTATTTCACTTTTTTAAAACATTAAAATTTTCCCATAATAAAATATATGTTTTAATTTAATATTAGCACTTCACTCTGTGAAACTTAGGGAAAAAAACTGTAGGAACTTAAATACTGTTCAAAAGAAAGGACTGCTAACAGTACCTTCCATGTGAGAGAAAAGAGCCTGCTTGTAAATGAGATGACAAGTGTATATATAGGATAAGTCTGAGTCACTGGAATTTGCCAAAGAGAAGAGTGTGGGTTCAACAAAATGAGGAGGTGCACAATTGCCCAGCAAAAGAGAACAGAATGGTGACACCATGAAAACAACTGTCACAAAAGTCTCAACATATCTCAAAATTTTCTTCAAAGTTAATTTCATCTTTTTTCAGGGATAATGCCTAGCATGTTTTCCCCAGATGAAGCATCTCCCTTGTAACCAATACTAATTTCAAAAATGGACTGTCCTGATAACTATACCACATACTGTACTGTTTCAGTCTCACCACTTTTTAATGTGATTTCTATTCACATTACCAAATGTACAGTTTTATGAAAAGAAGTAACCACGCTGGAAAATTTAGGAAATGTGCCAATTACGCTTATCATACCATAGCAGGAACTTCATGACTTTAACAGGCGCCTACCACATGCCTGGGGTTAGGGCTATAGCAATGAACAGGTAAGGTCCCTAATGTACTGTACTGGGCTTTCGGGGCATCTCCTACCCAATCTACGAATAAAGAAATAGAGGTCCAGAGAGGTTAAATGATATTTGCCCATGACCTCACACCACATCAGTAGTAGGACCAGAGCAAAACAAGAACCCAGGTCTCTGGCCTCTTAGGGCAAGGTAGATTTAACTTGAAATGGTTCACACAGCGCTCAGCTTCTAGGAAGTGTATCCTCAAGAAAAGAATAAAGTTGTAAAGTTCAATCAGTCCCAAGTCCCCTAAGTGGACAATAATTTCATTATCATCACTGCGAAAGATGAAACCTTCTATTTAAAAGGAACTTATTTTTGAAGAGAGTGCCTCACCTAATCTAATGGATCACCACGGTGCTGGACTAATTATTCTAGTATTAGGGCAACAGGCATTCTGTCTGGAATACTTTTTATCTAAGTACTATTTTTATAGGGTGGAGATCCTTTTCGAAATAAATGAGAAAATTAAAACAAAATTAAGGAAACGTTTGTAAATAAACACAAGCTTCCCCGACACCAGAGAGGCGTGTCGGGCGAGCTCCCGGTCGCACGCGCGCGGTCCTGAGCGACAGCTCCTCCCCTCCCGCCCACGCGGCCGTCTCGCCCACTCGGGCCGCGCGGGTGCAGAAGGGTGCCGGCGCCTCGCGCTCAATTTCAATTCTCCCACGCCCGCCGCAGCAGGGTTCCCACCAGCGCGCGCCGCGGCACCTCAGCCCCGCCGGCTGCAGGCAGTTAACCTTCGCCCCCGCCACAGCCGCCCTCAGCCCGGCCGCGAGCCGGGGAGCCGGGGAGCCCCGAAGCGCGTCTAGGCGGCGCCTGGGATCCCAGGGCTGGAGGCGCCGCGGCAGCCACACCCACCGGCTGCGCGGTGACAGCTCCAGCCGCCGAGGCCCGCCGTGCCGACAGGTGCTGCCACCGGCTCCTCCCCGGCCCGGCCCAGATCCCGGCCCGCCGCTCCGGGGCGCCCTGCCCGCCTCCGAGCCCACCACCTGTCGGGCCGCTCCGCGCGCGGCTGACGGCGGACGCCTTGCGGGGCTCCTGGCGAGCTGCCGGCGGCGACAGCCTGAGGCCCGGGGAGATGAGAGTTTTACCGGAGGGTGGGCCCCACGCAGGCAGTGTCGGTGCTCTCGATCTCCTGCAAGATCCGCTCATGCTCCGGGACAGTGCCCAAAGCCTCGCCGCTCTCCGCCATCTTGGCCTGGAAGCTGAGGAGCCGGCGAAGCGCGGCCCCGCGCAGGCCGCGGGAGCGAGCGGCTGGCTGCGCGTGCGAGAGGGAAGGAAACGAGGCGGGGCGGGCGGGGGCGCGCGGACTGTGTGCGAGGAACGCGCGGGCGCGCGACCCGGTACCTGATGTGGGAACCCGCACCTGCCCGAGGCCAAGGTGCTGCAGGCGGCGGCTGGAAGTGGAGACACAGCGCCTCCACCTCTCCCCGCCGTTGGCCCCTACTTGCTATTCAGTGATTGGCCTGGCTTTACATATATTCTCACATTCTGTAAGCCAGACCCTGTGCTTCGCCCTGGGGATGCCTTAGTAATGCCTTAGTATTACAAACCCTCAGTTTGTAATAAAAGCTATGGGAATGATTAGCAAGGCGGCCTGATGTATTCTGGGTGGTGGAAAGTCAGAGAAAGGAAAACACGCACTCAAAAAAAAGCAAAACTGTGTGTGCGGGAGTAAGATTTATTTTAGGAATGAACCGAGATGATCCCAGCTGAGGACCATGCCCGCAGGAAGTTCACAGAGGCCACTTGGAAATAAATTACAGGCGTGAGAAAAATTAAATGACGAAAAGCTATGACACGTTAAGCCAGAAAACAAAGAGTCCCAGGGCAGTGTGCGATTTCATGCCACAGTCCTGGAACCCAGGTACCCCAAGCCTCTGCGGCTGAGATGAGGGGAGGCGGAGGCGTTGAAGAAGAGGAGGTGTCAGAGAGAGGGGAAGACAGACGTGCGGTGGGGGCGGGGGTTGGGCAAAGGCACGAGTGCAGAGGAGTCCGGCTTAATGACATGCTGTGGGACGCTTAGTAAACCAGTTTGTCTTGCTCAAAGCAGCCACTGAGGAAAATTAATCAGGCCCTGCAAACCTAGCCCTGAGAAACAACTATTTATGGTTTCCACTGATCCAGGGTTCCGAACTTCCCTTTGAACCAACCAAGCTCTTTACTATCTCACCCCCTTCAGTGAGCTTTTAGTAGACATCTACCTTCACCTTCCTCCCCATAAAAATCCTGAGATTTTTATGTATTGTATAAGAGTTTAAAGCACAAGCTCTGAAGACAGCCGTCTTCAATTCCCAGATCCTTCATTTCATGGGTGGGGGGCGGGGGTGACATTAGGCAAGAACCTAATCCCTTTTTCAGTTTCCCCATCTGTAAATGACCATAGTAGTAACATCTACCTCATACTGCTGTCCTCTGTTGTATTAGTTGTTTTCGACTGTAGCTGTAACAAATTACCAAAATTTAGTAGCTTAAAACAACTCAAGGTTATTATCTTACAGTTCTGTGGTTGAAGTCCCACGGTGTCTCACTGTGCTAAAATTAACATGTCAGCACAACTGCATTCCTTTTCCAGAAACTCTAGGGGACAATTCATTTCCTTACCTTTTCCAGCTTCTAGAGGCCACCACATCCCTTGGTTCATGGCCCCCCTCCTCGGTCTTTAGAGTCAGCCACACTGCGTCTCTCTGACCATCCTTCTGTAGTCCTATCTCCCTCTGACTCTGACCTAGGCCAGGAAAGGTTCTCTGCTTTTAAGGACTCATGTGATTATGTTAGCCCTAACCATATAATTTCTGATAATCTTCCATCTCAAGGTCATAACCTTAATAATATCTGCAATATCCCTTCTGTCACGTAAGGAATATATTTACAGGATCCAGAAATTAGAACATGGACACTGTGGGAAGCCATTAGTCTGCCATTAGTAAGAGTGCAATAAACATTACTAACATACATAAATGCCCTCCTTCCTATTAACCTGAAATTTCTGTCCTCCCTGGAAAATTCAACTCAAATTTATCTCCTTCATAAGAATTCCCTATCTAATCATAACTTTCTCTGCTAACTCTACGTTCAGTTTAGCACATTTACCCACTCCACCAACTGTGTTACTAGTCTGCACTGTTTTGATTAATTACTTGTCATATATTTGCCAGGTTTGTTTATACACTTGGACCCCAGAAAACTGAAATGCTACTGATGTCAGTCCATGCTGGCTTGGAAGCTCTGCTACATCCAACTGCACATTCTACCAAAAACCCCCATCACAAGATGGTTTCCACTGTCTTGGTGGTACAAGAGAATCTAGCTTTTCTCTAGGAAATGCCACTTCCTCAATATGTGAGAATATGCAGATACAAACAAACAAAAAACCTCTTCTCAAGTCTACCAGCACTGTCACACCATGTTAAGGTCCTTAGTTCAGAAATGACTTTTGTTTTTAATTTTGCAATTTCCTACAGTTCCTCATAGAGTTCTGCATATAGCTGAGAGAAAGCTGGAGAGGTGTTGAAACAGATGGTGCTGAAGTTCTGAAGCCATTGGAAAGAGTTCAGGGTGAGTTAGAAAGCTCATTCCAAACAGATCTGAACATAAAGTAGGAGTTTGATTCATCTGTGATGTATAACAATTAGGAATTCAAACAGTATCAAATTGTAAAAAGTTTCTTCAAACTTGCTCTTTATATACTGACATTAAATATAACATTCTGTAGTATGGTCGTATTCAGTTGCCTTAATAAAAATCTGTAGCACTACCAGAAATGTTATCTCAAACTCTCTCATGTCCACTTTTATCAAGAGCTTCTGTGCGAGAAACAATATTAATAGATTTTTGCCAAAAGATATAAAGTCATCCATTCCTCTGATTATTTAAAATTTTATTCTTGGATCAAGTGTAATCCCTGTACCTAGACTCTAATGTTTTGACCCTTCGGGCTTTTTTTTTTTACTGAGTAGTAAAAAAAAAAATGAGTGTTTTCAAAGCAAAATAGAAGGAACAAAATAGCAATAGACTCAAACACTGAGAAGGGACTAGTGGTTACCAAGGAAGATGGGTTGGAGTGGGTAGAGGGGAAGGTGAAGGGGATAAATGGGCATAATAATTTGCAATCACAATATACGTTGGTCGTTGGGAAGGTGGTACAGCATGGAGAATATAGTCAATGATTCTGTAACATCTGACTACCTTGATAGATAGTAACCTCACTGAAAGGGATAAGGATTCAATGATATGCATAATTGTTGAACCACTGTGATGTATATTTGAAACCAACATAAGATTATATATCAATGATACTTTAATTTCCAAAAAAAAATTAGTGTTTTCTTAGCTGACTGCCTCTCCAAGTACTGATGAGGCCCCACCCCCTGGTGTCAGCTCTTTAGAAGAAAAGAGGAGCCTTTTGAAAATGGAACCTGATATCAAAACATAAGAAATAAGGACCTATTTAATACCTTCCTACAAACAGAACTGAAAGCCAGTTCTCTGCAGTAATTGGCAGACTATCTTAGCTTACTGTGCATAGCCAGACCTCATTGTTCTGAAGCATAAAACAAGGTGAGTAAGAACAAGACATGTGGCACAAGCCCACTTCTTATCTGGAGACTGTCTGCCTCCTAATGAGACCTTCCTTTCCTCAGCATTCCTTACCCAGACCCTTTTCTCTCCCCTTCTCCAATCCTGACACCATCTATCCAAAGCCAGATCCAAATGCCTCTGTTCTGGGAGGCCAACCCTGCCTAGGCCATCCTCGCTCCAGGCCCGTTTCAACAACTGCCCACAGAGATTACTTCAATATAAGCAGCAGTATCTTCCCCTCAATTCAAGCCAAGAGAGAAGGAAGTTATATACCACTTCTCCTTCTGAAACAGCTTTTACTGGTTCCCTCTGTGACTTCTGAGAGTTCCGTTAGTACCTAAGGGTTTTTGCTAAGAATTCAAAACCAGATGTCCTAAATAACTATGTAAATTTTAATTATGGACATAGGTAAGAAAAATATATCAATAAAAATTTTTTAAAAAACACTTTTCTAAAGTGATACATTTCTAAATGGTGTTAAAATAAAGAACTTCAAGTATAGGTCAAAATAAAAACCACAATAGGTATACACTGAACGCTATTTGCTAAGCCCTGTGCACCATCTAATATAACCTTTCCTAATTTAATTATTAATTTAACTGGTAATTAAATTAGTACTAATTTTACTGAAATCTAATTTAATCTTATGGGGATACTTTCATTATCTCCAATTTAATTTGAAGAAACTGAGACAGAGATTAAATCACTTGTCCAAGGTCACACAGCTAATGAGAGTTGAACATTGACCCTATTTAAATCAGTTCCTGTTTTTCCCATTAATAAAAAAATCAGCCAAGAAGAATGTTCCAACGTTGTTTTGTGCAAGGATAAATGATTTAATCAGTCTTGCCTGAGGAGTTGGAGGGTTAGGGTGCACACAGGCTGATGGCACGGGCATGTTGAGTTATTTTTCAGGCGATGAATATTGACTTCCAGAGAGCTACCCCAAATCGTTCTCCAGGACTTCTGGAAGGGGAAAGATACACTAGGGAGACTGGCAAGGGCAAGAGATGCAGTCTGTGTCCAGTGTCATGCTAACCAGCAAAGTAAGGATTTAACCAGTGCATAAATTCAGTCATTTATGATTTATGCTTTGAACCACTTGCCTACAGACTAATAACCAATCTTCAGAAAGTCCCTGCCTCAGAAGGAGGCTGTAGAATGCAACTGCCCTGGTCTGGCATTTAATTGCTTGGGTTCAAATTCCAATTCATCTTTTACTAGCTGTGGAGCCTCAGCAGAGCCATTTAACTTGTCTAAGCCTTAGTCTCTTCAAGTGTAAATTAGGGGAATTCCTAATTCACCAGGTTGTGTGGGAATTAAAGGAAATAACACATGTGTGATGTTTAGTCTAGAGGTCATTATTAGTCAACATTGATGTTTAGTCAGCATTAGCATTGGAGACTGGGATTACCAGACACTTATTACTAAGCCAGGTAGCCCAGAATTTAGCTTGCTCTTTGATAAAATTAAAATAAAACCAGACACATAAATGTTATTTTATTCTAATCATTGAAAAAAATCTGATAACCTTGAAG